CAGAGGACACACAGGCTTTGTGCTGGGGTCTCGGCTCCAAATCCCACCCCTGCCTCCCCCAAGTCCTGTGTCAAGTGTGACAGGCAGAAGCTGTGTTCCGAGGGCTTGGTCCTCAGTGGAGGGTCCCTGCGTCGTGGGTGACGCCCTCTGAGTGGGGGCTACACGCCCTGCCCCACCAGGCTGTGAGGAAGGGTTCTGCCGGGTGTACGTTCCAGCGGCTTCGCCCCCACTGCAGGCCGGGGCCGCAGATGCTGCCTCGCTCTCTCCCGGAACAGAGCTGCCGGAGGGTCCTTGACTCTGACTGGATCTCGCACGCCAGGATAGCTGACTTTCAGGTGGGGGATGAGGTCCAGATGAGGCCTTGGGGATTCTCTAGCTGACCTCGAAGTGTCCTTTCTACGTCAGAACAGAGTCGCCTTTCAGCTTCAGGAACTAGTTTCTGATTTGGGTCCCTTTCGTGGGTGTCCATCTCGGCTGCAAACGTGTGTTAGTGACATTTTCAGCCTTTGTTCATCTTCACTGGTTAAGGAGATGTTACAAAAACCACTTCAAGGTTTTTGAACAGTCACAAATATTTAAGCCTCCGCTTTGCCTGTTAAGGAAAATGCCACCTAAGATAATCACTTGGCCTTTGCCTGACAGGAAGGTTTACACAGAAGACAGGATTATTTTCACCTCTGAGCAATTCACAGACTTTGAACCTAGATGGTCTTTTCTATACCCTGCAATGATTCCTTAAGCAAAATATTCCAAGTCCCGGACACACATGAAGAAAATGCGAGCAAAAGGCACAGCACCTGCAGTCACTCCTGACAGAGCTGCCTATGGAGTGCCGCTTACTCCTCAACGGGGGTCATGTGGAATCCGGGTGTAGATCTGGTTCCATCGGTGTCACCTCTTCTACTGCAAATGGGGAGCACTTCCCGGGGAAGGCTCCACAGCAGGCCTGCAGGATGCTCCCCCGTGGTGGAGATGGCTGGAGCCAGGGGCAGCAGCTGGATGCCGGCAGTTTTTAGTAATGTCACCTCAGACCATCCCTTACCACCTTGGTCACCTCGTCTGAGATACAGGCCTGGGGTTCTGTTTCTCTGTGGGGTTTGTCACGAGGAGAAGGAGAGAAGGGCCCGGCACGCAGGGGACACTGCAGAAACGGTGGGCTGCGCTTTATCATTGCTTGCATAGTGGGAACAAGGAGAGGAATGAAGGCTGACAGGGCCTGAGGATATCTGGGGCCAGACATGTGATCCTGGGTGTAGTAAGGGGCCCCGAGTTGGTTTTCCACAAATCCCTCTCTGACAGCTTGTTCCCAGCATCCTTTTCTTTGACAGATGTTCCCAGGATCCTTTTCTCCAAGGGGTGTTCCCATCCTCTCTCTCTTAAATAATGTTCCCAGGGTCCCTCTCTGACACCTGGTTCCAAGCATCCCTCCCACTGAAAGTATTTCCAGAATTCCCCTCTCTGATGGATGTTCCCGGCATCCCTCTCTCTGATGTCATGCTCCCAGAATTCCTCTCTCTGATGTCATATTCCCACCATCCCTCTGATGTCACATTCCCAGAATTCCCCTCTCTCATGGATGTTCCCAGCATCCCTCTCTCTGAAGCCATGCTCCCAGCATCTCTCTCTGATGATGTTCCCAGAATTCCTTTCTCCGATGGATGTTCCCAGAATCCCTTTCTCTGATGGATGTTTATAGCATCCCTCTCTCTGACAGCATGTCCTCAAGTTCTGAGCATGACATGGCCAGCCCCATACAGGTGAGATCTCTTAAATGGCAATCAATATTGGTTCAAAGTGTCTTTTCCAGGTCAACCTAGTCTCTGCTGTCCCAAGTAAGTGAGCAGGAAGACAGCAGTGGTCAGGGTCTTCTAGGAGAGTCTTCTAGAAGGCTGCAGGAGGCTTACAATCCAGGGTGAGTCAAGTGAACAAAATCAATGCCAGGAGCAACAACTCTCCAAGTTACAGACAACCTCATGAGGTGGACATCATCACGCCCCTTTATAGCTGGAGACTAAAGCCTCGGGTGTTTAAGTAACTTGACTAAGTGGTACAAGCAGTATTCCAAAATAATGACTGTGGTTCTAGAAGGTGCTTAGAGGAAAAAGCCAATCTGAAAAGGTGATACTGTATGACTCCATCCTATAACATTCTTGAACTGACAACATCATGCAACAGAAAACAGATGAGTGGTTGCTGGGGGTCAGGGATGGGTAGGGTGCAGGAAGTGGGTGGGCGTGGTTATGAAAGGACAAAAAGGGGGGCTGCTGTGGGGGCCAGTCAATCTATACCTGGACAAGGTGCTGGAGCTGTCAGCTGACACGTGGTCAAGCTGCACAGCGCTATATAAACACACAGCGAAGAGTGCAAGTTTATAGAAAGGCTCAGAGTTACCATGATACGTTAGTATATGTTCAGGCGGAGGAAGGAGGTATCATTTAGTGAGAGGCAGTGGGCTGAACCATGCTCCCTTCCCTCAGAGATCCTAACCCCCAGAATCTGTAAACACTCTCCTTCCACTTAGTAGAAGAAATTTTGCAGCTGTGGATAAGTTATAGATTCTGAGATGGGAAGATGACTCTGGAGTATATGGGTGAAGCCCATGAAAGCCCAACAGTCCTGATGAGAGGCAGGCTGGAGGGCTGGGGCTGGAAGAGACAGAAAGAGATTCCGAGACGTGATGCTGTCAGCACAGACTGCGGAGGAGGGAACCAGGAGCCAAAGGCCTGCTCAGAGGCTAGAAAAGCAGACAGAGTCCCCCTGAAGCTGCTGCAGGGACGGTCATTCCACAGTAACCCAATGAGACTGAATTTTGACCCCTGACCTCCAGAGCTATAAGAGAAAAAGGTTTGCGTTGCTGTGATCCACTAAGCTGGTAGTGAGATAGCAGCTATATGAAATTAATACAAGAAGGAACCTTGGGAAAAAAGGCAACAAATTTCAATTATTTGGGCGATTTCCTCTATGTGGAATGCTCTCATCCCTGGCGATATCAGATGGCTGAGGCATTATTGAACATGAGAAGCTATTTGTTTGATCAGCAGAGACCTGGTCTTGACGGAGATGAAGCTCAAAGCCACCTTGATCCCTCAAACTGCTGCCGTTCCCTGCCATCAAGCTTTGGCAGCATCTGGTGGGTGGTACTTGGAGCTGGCGCAGCTCATAATCACAGCCTGTTTAATCCATGTCAGCCAAGAGAAGCCTCCAGAATAAATACTACATCCAGAGGGCATATTTTTTCTGTACCATCTCTTTATGCTTCATATTTGAAAAACATTTAAACTCACGATATACCTGGAGAAACTAAGGTGTGAGTTCTTTGCAGGTAAAGAGGTTAGGTAGGTTAAGGATCAAGAGAATAATTGGACATGTAATTCAGAATTTACGTTTTTAAGTAAATCTAAGCCTGCTTCTACATGAAGAATATAACAAGCAAAAAAAAAAAAAAAAGCCCTTGACAAAGGAATAAAAGTTAGCTTCCGTTTGGGAATAATGGCTGTAACAGAGGGTCCCAGGTGCAAACACTGCACCCGGCACCTTTAGTTCTCAGAGCAACTCTTCAGGGAGCACAGAGTTGTCCCTGACTCGCCACTGCAGAAACAGGCTCAGAGGGGTTAGGGAGCTTGCTTGCGCTCCCACAGCCTGTAAATAATAAAGTCTGGACTGGCGCTCACGTTGGTCGGATCTCCAAGCTCATGTCTTGCTCTCGCTACCACCTCAGAGATAAATGTGTGAGGCAGCATCTTGAATAAATACCACAAAGTCACCAAGAGCTAACATGAGAGCTCTACAGAGAACTGAAGGTTGGCCTAACTTGGAATTCACCACCTGCTCCATCCCGGAGCTCAGTGGGGAAGGGACTGTGCCATCCACACGGCAGGGCGTGGACAGCATGTCAGCTCCATAGAGGCCCGGGGTGGTAACCCACCCACTCACCGGCAGGTAGGAAGCTTCATAATGCAGGAGGAAAACTGCTCCATGTGTTATAACAAAGACAGAGTGGCAGGGCCGCTGCTGTCAACACACGAATCCTGCAACCGCTTGGCCAGACCCCATGGGTATGCCCGTCCCGGCCGAGACGCCAGGATCCACGCCAGCATGCTGCTGAGGACATTTGCTGTTGTTGGTAGTCGCTCAGTTGAGTCTGACTCTGTGTGACCCCATGGGCTGTAGCCCGCCAGGCTCCTCTGTCCATGGGATTCTCCAGGCAAGAACACTGGAGTGGGTTGCCATTCCCTTCTCCAGGGGATCTTCCTGACCCAGGGATGGAACCTGCGTCTCCTGTCTAGGCAGGTGGGTTCTTTAACACTGGGTCACCTTTGGAGAACCAAGTATTACCTATAAAATAGCATGGTGTCTGATAGGCTAGTCACTCTGATTTTTTGACACAGACAACAAACTAGTGGTCACCAAAAGGGAAGGGGGGCAGGACAAATGAGAAGTTTGGGATTAACAGATATACACCATTGCATAGAAAACAGATAGACAACAAGGACCTACTACACCACACAGGGAACTATATTCATGGTCTTATAATAATCTACAATGGAAAAGAATATGAATATATTCTTACAGTAACTGAATCACTTTGTGTACACCTGAAATTAACATGACATTATAAATCAACTATATTTCAATAAAAAGTAAACACAAAACAAAAAAATGAATCACTTTGATTTTGCTAAAATCCCATCATTGGGACCATCCCTGAGCCCGTGTTTCCACATGGAGCTTCTCACAAGCAAGGTCCCTCCTTCTCCACCCCGTGGTGGTTCTTACATTCCTTTGCCTGTGACTGTAAGAAATGCATTTTTCCCATGCACCCACCTCACACACATGTGTAACAGAAACAAAAGTTCTGTGAAGCACGATGTGTCCTCACTGTGTGCACAGAGCTCTCACGCTTTCTTTTTCTGTATTTGCTCCACACACGCTGACGGGTGATGCCGGGTCCCATCCACACCCCATGAGTGGTTGTGTTTCATGGCGAGTGAGCAGCCTACCTCTGGGGCGATGTAGTCGGGGGTCCCACAGAAGGTCCTGGTCGTGACGCCGTCCATCATGTGCTCCTTGCACATCCCAAAGTCCGCGATCTTGATGTGCCCTTCCGAGTCCAGCATGACGTTGTCTAACTTCAGGTCCCTGCAAGGAAGCAGGTGCATCAGCGTCCCTCCGCACACTACTGCTTCGCTCTGCCTCGTTAGTACAGGCCTGGGAGAGCTGGGGCAGGACCTGCCACCTAGCAATTTTCCATCTCTAGAGCCCAGCACAGTGCCTAGGGTACTTGTATGCATGCCGAGTCGCTTCAGTAGTGTCCAACTCTGTGTGACCCCATGGACTGTAATCCCCCAGGCTCCCCTGACCATGGGATTCTCCAGGCAAGAAGACTGGAATGGGATGCCATGCCCTCCTCCAGGGGATCTTCCCGACCCAGGGATCAAACCCAGGTCTCTTATGTTTACTGCATTGGCAGGCGGGTTCTGTACCACTAGCACCACCTGTGAAGTGCACCTATGGTACAGCAGATGCTTAATAAATCAGACTGAGTGAGTGACAGAGCCAGTGACGCCCACCTTGACTGCAGATGAATCACTGGAGACTCAGCTGAGCAGCTCCGAGCGGACTGCACCCCAGTTTGTTGGTGTCCCACCCAGAGGGCTCAGGCTCCCCGCCGGGGCGCAGACCGCAGGCTCAGAACCACCGCACTGTGCACTCGGCCCCCTCATTCTGCCCAGCTTCCTGATCACTCTCCGCTTAGTGCTGGCCAATGTCCAGCCTTCACCGTAACCAGCAATGGCAGGAACCGGACCCGGCGGCCTCCCTCTCCCCACCCGCCCCAGCTCCCCGCACTCCTCTGCTGAGCATCACTAGCAGAAACTCAGCCCGCACGGTCCCTGACCCTCACGCCACATGAAAGGCAGAGGAAGGAGCCGGCAGGGGAGAGAAAAGCTCGTTTTCTTGCAGAAGCAGAATTGAGATCCAGAGACCAGAAGCTGGACCACATTTGCCCGGAGGCTGCAGAGAACGGTGGGTCCCAGCAGGTGTCCATGATGGGGTAGGGGGGACTGTCCTCTCCAGGTTTGACACCCCCTCTCCCCTCAACAGAATCACACGCCCAGGGAGTTCAGAGGGCCAGCAAAGCTTCCTCTGTGCTGCAAGCAGCAGGGCCTTGATACACACCGATAAATGATTCCTCTTTTATGAAGAAAGAACAGCCCGATGGAAATCTCTGCCGCATAGAACCTGCAAAAGAAAATGTCTGTCGGGCGTCCGGCTTGTTCCCTCCGGCCTTCTGGATACTTTCTGCCCTCAAGATCAGGCATCAGAATGGCACAGGAAGGGAAGACCCTGGACCGTCAGAGACCAGTACTGGCCTACAGGCAACTCCGACCCTCTGCAGTTTTATGACCCCAGCTTCCCCAAGGGATGACACAGCTGATAAAATCAGTGAAGCAGGTTTATTACCTGTCAGTCCAGCCTTCACCGTAACCAGCAATGGCAGGAACCGGACCCGGCGGCCTCCCTCTCCCCACCCGCCCCAGCTCCCCGCACTCCTCTGCTGAGCATCACTAGCAGAAACTCAGCCCGCACGGTCCCTGACCCTCACGCCACATGAAAGGCAGAGGAAGGAGCCGGCAGGGGAGAGAAAAGCTCGTTTTCTTGCAGAAGCAGAATTGAGATCCAGAGACCAGAAGCTGGACCACATTTGCCCGGAGGCTGCAGAGAACGGTGGGTCCCAGCAGGTGTCCATGATGGGGTAGGGGGGACTGTCCTCTCCAGGTTTGACACCCCCTCTCCCCTCAACAGAATCACACGCCCATGGAGTTCAGAGGGCCAGCAAAGCTTCCTCTGTGCTGCAAGCAGCAGGGCCTTGATACACACCGATAAATGATTCCTCTTTTATGAAGAAAGAACAGCCCGATGGAAATCTCTGCCGCATAGAACCTGCAAAAGAAAATGTCTGTCGGGCGTCCGGCTTGTTCCCTCCGGCCTTCTGGATACTTTCTGCCCTCAAGATCAGGCATCAGAATGGCACAGGAAGGGAAGACCCTGGACCGTCAGAGACCAGTACTGGCCTACAGGCAACTCCGACCCTCTGCAGTTTTATGACCCCAGCTTCCCCAAGGGATGACACAGCTGATAAAATCAGTGAAGCAGGTTTATTACCTGTCCCCAAACAAGCCCTTCTTGTCTGGGGCAGGTGGACAGGTAATTTACTGCTTAAAAGAAATTTTGAGCGCAATCTTTTAAAGAGTAGCTGTCTGCTAGGCTGTTCTACGTCAGGGCTACAACAGACTGAAGCAAATTTCCATTTTCCCCCTCAAGGACAGAATACCTTAGTGTTTGAAAACACACCTATGCCCTGGATGACAAAGGTCAGTGTGTGCCGAACTCTGGGGCTGGTTTACTCACCCCCACACCCTCACACAATTCATACCTGGTGCACCTTTTAAATAATTCATGATAGGAAGCAGTTACAGCCATTGCTTCATTGATCCATTAAATGGATCAATATCTGAAACTCCAAATAAACGCTGAAGGAGGTCTTACAATCTGCTTTGCGTTTAGTTCTTGAAGCCTGAGAAGCCACAAGACTCTGCCTGCACAAACAGCACTCTTGCAAGGCTTCAGTAAGCAGGCGCGTTTACTTGAGTGTGTTTACATGAGTGTGTTTACGGGAGCGGAGGAAGGACCCCTGACTACAAGGCCCACACTCTCAACAGGGGGCCGTCTCTGAGGGCCAGCGGGAGGTGGGGAAGAGGAGAGGAGGGGTCACGGGTGACTTTCCTGTGACATTCTCCTTTTCTGTATTTTTAAAATATAAAAACGTTCCAGTGACACAGATACAACTGAAGGCACCAAATGGGACGCCCGTGGGTTTCTTCTCGATGGAGGGAGGCTGTTCTGACCTTGGCTCCGACCAGTGGTCAGGCTCAGCTCTGTCATTAGCGCGTTTAATGCCTTGTAACTAACAACACAGGAGACAGGATCAGGGGAGGGATTTCTGAAAACGGAAAAGTAAAAATAAAAGCAGAAACCACCAGCCCTGAGCGAGCCCCCACGAATGTCCTGCTCTGCCTCTGGTGGGTCTCCCCAGGCCAGCTCAGCCCACGTGGGCCAGGGCGGCTCGTTTATTGTTTGGACTGAACGCCAGGAGAGCCTTTTGGACGGCTGCTCAGGTGATTAACTGGGGCTCCTGGCACTACACGTCTTCACCGGGGGTGAAAGAGCTTTGCTTCTATGAGTTCCCCGTGACTTCCTAGCCCTGGAATACGGGCTGATTCTCCAGGTCTCACGCCCCGTCTCTAGATGGATGATTCTCAGTCTCCCCTGGAGCCTGCGTCTCCCTGACGGCAGGATTCCTGCCTCCCGGCCTCGAGGCGCGGGCACCCCACTGAAACCTCCCCGACCTCCTCCCGGACGGCGGCGCCTCCCAAGCCTACAGGGCCGTCACCCTAGCGCCCAGCCCCGGTTCGCTTCCCCGGAACGCTTGCCCAGGACGCTGATGCCCCTGCGGCTCCAAGGTCGCGCCGCTGCGTGCTTTCTGCAGACTGTCGGCTCCTCCTCCACCAGCCCCACGCCCGAACCCCCGTCTCCTCTGGCAGGGAGCCCCCGGTGCTGTCAGGCCCCGAGGACCCCAGGCTCTCTTGCTCCTCGCCAGGCCCTCGCCCCGCTGGGCGCAGCACCCAGAGCCCCTTCCGCTGCTCCGCGCGCGAGGGAATGACTCAGGGGCCGGGATGCTGGCGGCTGCGCTCCCAGGGACAGGACGGAGAACGAACGTCTCCGCAGGACGCGCGCAGGCGGACCCTGCCCACCGTCCTGCCGCCGGGAGGTAACAGCGCTTCACCCCAAGCTGGGCGGAGCCCCACTGCCAGACCCCCGGCCGAGCTGAGAGCGCGTGACGAGCTACTCACACTGCCTGCGGCTCCTTGAACTTCCCGACCTGCTGGATGTGGTACATGAGGTCCCCGCCGTTGACGTACTCCATGACGAAGTAGAGCCGGTCCTGAGGGCCGAGGTTCGACCGGTGAGCGGGCTCCGCCGCGGCCGGCGGCCCCGCTCCAGCCCGCCATCTGCTTTCTCGTTGGGGAAACATGGGCCGCGCCGGCACGTCTGCCCGGCGGAGCCCGTCACAGTTTTCTCCCCCCAGTAAAGAATTAGTAAAAAGCCCTGTTGTGTGAGGACCTCGGGAAACAAAGTCACGACGTAACCCTGAGGCATCCGCTCCCAGGTGCCCCGTCCACCCCTCTGCTTACAGAAGCTCCCAATGACAGAAATGGCCTCCAAGCTTCCTCCGTCTTCTCCTACACATAATTCATTTCTAAGCTGGGGCTGGCGTGAAGAGTCCACACAGGCCAGTTCTTTAACCAGTGGTTGGCAGTGCAGTGGTGGATGTGTCTGAGAGCAGACCTCCTGGGTCCGGGCTCGCACGCCTAGACCCCAGGGAGGCCTGCTGCAGGCGGGGCCGTCAGTGGGGAGGCCGGTCGGTGTTCCTCCGCATCCACCTTCGCCCAAACGCTGTTTCTGACTTTCTCTCTCGCTGATACACTGCATGTTGGCCCGCGAAGCGCCCACATCAGAGAACTCAGTGAGTCCGCGCATTTGTAAGGACATTACACCGGGACGGATGGGGAGGTGGAGGGGGTTTAGGAGGGAGGTAACGGCGCAGCGTAAGGTAGACGCTGGCCTCTGCTCTCTTGCAGAAAACAGCACCATTTCACAGAGGTTATTAAACGTTAAAGTGGTGCACAGGGTGGAAAAAAGGACGGAGCTGGAGCTAACAGCCAGGAAACGCCGCCGGGAGCCTCAATCTCTCGCTTTCCTGTTATGAACTTTAATTTCAATTTTATTTCTCCGCTTTGCAGCTTTCCAGAGCTTAATCAGCGTAACCAGGGTGACAGGATCCGGGCTGGGGCTTTTTCCTCTCCTTTCATATTGCTAGATTCTCTTCGGGACGCTACTGGGAGCTGCTCCTGCGAGCTGCTGGGAGACGGACCATCGCTCGGCTGCCCCCCGGTGGCCGGGACCGGCTCTGCGGCAATTCTTTTTATAAAGCCTCTCTTAGAGCTCAGGGACCATCCATACAAACAAGCCAGACTGCCACCCCTGCATGTGCATTACCCAAGAACATCCTCTTCCAGGACATGGGTCTCCTGACGCTCTGATGCCAATTTGGCAGCTGGACCAGGACTTAACGAGCCAGGACTGTGAGTTACCGTTTTGTATCTCTGAGCCTTAACACAGTGCCTGGTGTGTGTTAAGAAAACCTTTGATAGCAGCATTCACAGAATCAAATGGAATTAATGCCAAGTCTGTAGGTAGCGGACCCCCTGAATTCCCCAGTGGTACCCACTCTGCTCGGGAGAGGAGGATGGGGGCTGATGTCTTCTCCCGGGAGGAAGGCAGGGGGCGGCGGTGCAAGGACCCAGTGGGGGGGGTGGGCGGGCAGGCCCCAGGGCCCTTACCACTGTCTGGAAGCAGGAGTGCAGCTGCGTCAGGAATGGCGGCTTGTCGAGCAGGGCCAACACCCGCTTCTCCACCATGGTGCACTCCACGTCATCATCCTGGATGACCACGTCCTTCTTCAGGATCTTGATGGCGTACAGCTCCTCGGTCCCCTTCCGGTCGGCCAGCATCACCTGCAGGCAGACAGAGGGCAACCTGAACCCCTGGGCACACAGCACGGGGTGCTGGGAACTGTGTGTGCAGACCTGTCAAATTTTTTTTAAGATTTTTTTTTGATGTGGCTCATTTTTAAAGTCTTTATTGAATCTATTACAATATTGCTTTTCTGTTTTCTGCTTTTGGTTTTTTGGCCAAGAGGCATGTGGGATCTTAGTTCCCTGACCAGGGATTGAACCTGCAGCCCCTACACTGGAAGGTGAAGTCTTAACCGCTGGAGCACCAGGCAAGTCCCAACAGATTCATCGATATAAATAAAGCTCCACTTCAGGTGCCGGTTCTCAAATATTGCACTTTGTGTATGTATGTGTTAGTTGTCAGTCGTGTCCAAATCTTTGCAACGTCATAGACTGCTGCACATTAAATTCCTCCAGCATACAGTTTGAGAAAGCTCTGGGAGATGGTGACGGACAGGGAAGCCTGGCGTGCTGGAGTCCACGGGGTCACAAAGAGTCGGACACGACTGAGCCAGGACTGGACTGAAAGCTTCTAGGCCACCAAGATGTACATGCTGTGTGGGCCGTTGCCACACGAGGGCGCCACCGCAGCCGCTGAAAATGATGCTTGACATCCTCCTCTGCATCAGCAGGTACTTCAGGAGCATCCTCATCTCGGGAGCATCCTCATCTCAGGAGCACCCTCATCCCAGGAGCACTCTCAGAGCAGATACCTGGCTGACTTTTACATGCTCCTCACAAGCCAGGAAGCCGGACCCAAATCCAAAAGAAAGCGGCATGATCGAAACCAGCCCCTGGATCTGCCATGAGATTTGGACTCAGAGAGGCAGACGCAGATACACAGGCTGGACACGGAGGAAACCTGGTCTGGTATCTCAACTATTACATTCATTTACTACAAGCCAACATTTAATTTTCAGCTGTGAAAATTATTCAGCCACCGTTGTGGGGCACTGACTCCATCCTGAAACCTTAAACGGTGACACAGGGGGCCCTGTCTAGCTTTTGGGGAAGGTCGCTTTTAATGAGATGAAGTGGGAAGCCCCTGAGAATGTGGCAGAACCAGGGGACGTCTAAAAGGCTGCCCCAGAGTTCTCAGGGAGACTCGGACCGACCGGCCCCCACGTCCTCCACAGAAGCCCCGCCTGGCTCGGACATGGCCCACTCACCTTCCCAAAGCTGCCTTTGCCCAGCACCATGAGGAAGTTGAAGTCAGTGAGCTTCACTCTGTCCAGGTTGTTGGAAGGCTGTCTCCTGTCCTCGGAGGGACTGATGACTTTGTTGCCGGCAGGGCCAAGCTTGGCTTTCTAAACAATAACACACATGTGGAAACAGTCAGCCATTTCCTCAGGGACAAAAGTGACAGGAAACTCTGTGACTAAGCTGGATGCCAATGCTGGGTGGTGGTGGGAGGGGAGACGGGTGAGGAAAGGAAGCCGGACCACGAGATGTCTGCTCCTACCTCCACCGCTGCACTCACCCAAAGGGCGACATTTGCAAAGGAGCGAGAAGCTGCCCTCACCCATCACAAGAGACACTTTGTATCTATAACTAACATAATAAAAGAAATAATAAAAGAAGTAAATGTAATAAACTGTGTACTGATTCTTTCCTTATTTGTAGATCCTCCAATCTAAGATTTGCAGAAACTTACACCCACAATAGAGGGAGAGTGTGTTCCCTGGAGGAAAACGCTTTCACAGCAGGCAATGGGGTGACTCACTGCTGCGCTAAAAGGCACAGGAGGGAGAACAAAGGTTTCTTTTTTGGGTAAAGAGTTGGACTCATGAAAAGTGGTGACCTGTAGGAGCATCTGGTTTCCCACGGAGCCCACGGTGCTCTCTGCACCCAGCAAGTCCTGGGTCATGACCTGTGAGTTACCCAGAGGGGTTTTACCCACTGGTCACTTGGTTAACACCACGTAAGTTAACTTGGCTCCCAGGGAGATGGCAGGAGGTGAAGAAGCTTTCAGGAGATTTTGGGCACGACCAGACCACCGGGACTTCGGTGCTCTGCTCTTCAGGGGAATGTGGGATCTGACGTGTTTTCTTTAGTGGCTGAGAAGGCTCTCAAGGAATCGTCCACACCCCTTCTCTGAGCAGAAGCCTCCTTCATCCACAGCCACTGGGCAGGCTGCTGGCACCTGGCTCTGTGGGGCGGCCATGCCTTCTCAGGACGAGCCTCCACCCCTGTCCCCGCAGACCCAGCCCCAGAGCCGCACACGGCACAAGGTCTGCACTAGCATTTTGGTTGAAGGAAGAACGAAGCGAAGCCTGACTGTGCTCATCACATGCTGGGCTGTTAGGTGACTCTTTTCTCTGATCAAAATAACCTTTTTTAGGGATTGTGGGCTTCTCAGGTGGCATGATCAGTAAAAGAACCCACCTGCCGATGCAGGAGACGTGAGTTTGATCCCTGGGTCAGGAAGATCCCCTGGAGGAGGAAATGGCAACCCACTCCAGTATTCTCGCCTGGGCAGAGGAGCCTGGTGGGCTACAGTACATGGGGTTGCAAAGAGTTGGACACGACTGAATGACTAAACAACAAAATATATATCATAGATGTTCGCAACATGCAGAGAGAGGAACCTGACAACAGAAAGGTCTTCCTAGTTCTGAGAGTCTGAAGGCAGACAGGCCAACACTGATCAGGGTCAGACAAGTAATCGGGCATTTATTCTATAACTCTGTATCTGCAATAAAAATGTTCTGTGCCTGTCTCTGTGCATCTGAACAACCCTGACAACATAAGACTGATGGTGTTTGGTGCTGTTCCATTGACCAGGACGCGGGGAGCAGAAAGAGCAAGGCCATGCAAAACCAAGGGCCCTGAACAGCAGCCTACTTCTAGGGCGACATATTCACCTGCACCCAGAGCAACACTATGAGAAATCAGCGGGTCTCCTATCACTTACACGTAACGCCACTTCTCAGGTGGTGCTAGTGGTAAAGAGTCCCACCTGCAATGCAGGAGATGTAAGAGACATGAGCTTGATCCCTGGGTGGGGAAGATCCCCTGGAGGAGGAAATGGCAACCCACTCCAGTGCTCTTGCCCAGAGAATCCCAGGGACAGATGAGCCTGGAGGGCTACAGTCCACGGGGTCGCAAAGAGTCGGAGATAGCTGAAGTGACTTAGCACGCATAATAGGTAGCATAAGAAATTTGTGAATGAACAGGTGAAGTTGCGTGGCTGTGCTCCAATAAAACTTTATTTACAAAAACAGACAGCAGCCAGAATCTGGCCCGGGGGCTCTTGTCTGCCTCCTTTTGCCCCACATCACACAGGTTCTGAAATCATTCCTCCTCATCTGCAGCTGGATTTAAACACAGCCTCCCTCTGCCCTCACCAAGCTGGCAGAATGGCGACAGTTAAGAGCCTCAGATACACCTGAATTAAGTCCCTGCCGAGTCTCTTCCACGGCCAGCCAGCACAGGAAACAGCTGTCCAGCATCCAAACGGTGTAGTGAGTGAAGAGCTTATTTGGGAGAGCAAAAATTTATGGGAAACCACATGAGGTCATTTTCTTGATGAGAAATGTTTTTATGGACACGTCCACACCAGCTGTCTCTGCTGCTGAATCTGCCGGGCACTGGCAGGCCTCTGTTGTCATGGTAACTCAGCCACTCTCTCAGGAGACATGCAGACCTGTGATGCATTAGCACTAGGACCATTGTGGGAAATACGAAGTCCCTGTTTCTTCTGGACCCGAGTGTTCTTACCTTAGTACCAGCTGTGATGCTTTCCGCAGGCAACCTGCTTTCCCCGTGTCCCAGATCCACGCACCGACGGCCGACACCCCCCGCAGGCCGGCTCAGTCCGGCGGTAATAGCGCACTGGTCCCGCCGCTCCAGAGGTCCTGGGATGGCCACTGGGTCTGTCCCACCCAGTGCCCGAGAGTCCAGCCTTCTGTGCCCAAGCTTCCGGGACCAGAAACTTCACTGTGTCCAAGTGTGTCCATCTGGAGAGAGCCCATCTTTCTCTCACCAGGGAGCTGAGGGCACATGTCTGCCCGATGCCCAGCTAACTGCAGCTCAAGGCCACAGCATGTCATTGGAAGAGGGTTTGGGGCACTTGGTAATTTTTTGAAACCTGTATCCTTTTCTAGAGGCTCAGCAGCGAAGAATCCACCTGCTAATACAGGAGACGCAGTTCGATCCCTGGGTCGGGAAGATCCCCTGGAGGAGGGCATGGCAACCACTCCAGTGTTCTTGCCTGAAGAATCCCATGGACGGCGGAGCCTGGCGGGCACAGTCCACGGGGTCTCAGAGTCTGACATGACTCAGCGATTAAACAACAAGCCCTTTTCCTGCTAAAACGCTCCCTGTTGGGATCACCACGGTGCTGGCTTTGTAAGTCAGCGCTGGCAGGGTCACCGCCAAACGAACTCACACTGTCAACAGAGGAAATGAGTTTCCAGACTGCTGGCAATATTGCCTAGGAGTGGGGAGTTTTCTGTGCTAAGAAAGCAGAGTAGTATGAAGTGAGCTGGCCTCCTGCCAGAGGAGACTGCGTGAACCACTGGACCACGGGCATCTTCCCCAGGACCAAGACGAGTGCCGAGAGTCACAGGACACTCGGGAGTATCAAGCGGGAACCCTGTCTTCACGGCCAGCAGAAAGTACAGAGACACAGCGGGGCTCAGGGCTCTCTGCAGGCGCGGTGTTTGGGGAAATCTTTTAATTGCAAATCTTTACTGCCCTCTTGTGGCACTTATTTTCTGGACAGATTGCAATTTTTCTTTTTTTCTTTTTTAAATGTTATTTTTAAACATTTTTTGTTTTGTATTGAAGTACAGGTGATGAACAATGTTGTGACAGTTTCAGGTGGAGAGCAAAAGGACTCAGCCACACACACACATATCCACCCTGCCCCTCGCATCCAGGCTCTCCGTAAAACTGTTCCCCTGCAGTACAGTAGGTCCTTGTTAGTTATCCTTTTACACACAGCTTGGGGCAGGGGCGGCAGAGGATGAGATGGTCGGATCATTGCCGACTCAGTGGACATGAGTCTGAGCGAGCTCCAGGAGACACCGAAGGACAGGGAGGCCTGGCGCGCTGCCATTCACGGGGTTGCCAAGAGTTGGACGCGACTGAGCGGCCGAACAATGACAAGAGCGTTTCCCAGGTGGTGCTAGTGGTGAAGAATCCGCCTGCCCATACAGGAGACATAAGAGACGTGGGTTTGATCCCTGGATTGGGAAGATCCCCTGGAGGAGGAAATGGCCACCTGCTCCAGTACTCTTGCCTGGAGAGTCCCAGGGACAGAGGGGCCGGGAGGGCTGCAGTCCACGGGGTCGCAGAGTCGGACACGACTGGGCGGCCAAGCACACACACACATCCACCCGAACTCCCTGTGTCCTCCCGTCCTTCCCACCAGCAGCCACAAGTTCCATCTCTAAGTCTGTGAGTCTGCATCTGCTTTGTAAATTAGTTCGTTTATAGAATTTCTTCTTAGATTCTGCATCTAAGGGATGTCATACGCAATTTCTCCTTCTCCGTCTGACTTATTTCACTCACTGTGACAATGACCGACTGCGTTCTGACTGGACTCTTAGCCAGGTTTAGAAATACACCCAAGTTTACTAGAACAGCCCACAGAAGTGAAGTTCCTGTAAATACTGCAAAATGGCACAAACAAGATGCAAATGCTACCTTCCCGGCTCTGCCTTCAAGGAAGGTGACTCGTCCCTCGTGAGAGAGCCTGGCCTGTGCGCGGTGCCGGCAGGTGTGCAGACACCAGAGTGTGTCCTGGAATCGCCAAGGGCATGATTTCAGGAGACAAGCCCCAACCACTGCTAGCTGTCTCTGTGTCCTGACTCTCCCCAGACTCTGCAAACCACCGACGCCAGGGAGGCCATGAGCGCCGAGGGGGCCAGGAGCAGCCCCCGAGACCTGCTGTGTCTGGGAAATAATGGAACGATCGTCCCAAGAGGGCAGAATTCAGCAAAACGGCCACCCCCAGGGAAATTCAACTTGTGCTAAGTGATCACAGGGTGGGAGCTCCTGAAAACAAACAACGGAAACCCAGACCTTGGCTGGCAGTGAAGCTCAGATCCCGGAAAAGCTCCAGGCCTTCTCACCCTCCTCAGCGGCTGCAGGACAGGTGGGTGGGTGAGGGTCATCCCTGCCCCTCCTGCACCCCAGGGAACCTGGGCAGAGGTTTGAAACCTGACGGGCGTGGAGGGAAAGAAAGACAAAAAAACATGATCCTTCCTGCAAGAGGCTGAATATGTTTGCTCAATTACTCAATTTAAATTTTTTCTAAAATGCCTCTAATTGACAGCGGCAGGCATTCTGAAAGCGGGGC